GAGAGAGAGAGAGAGCAGTGGAAAAGATCACAGGGTGAAATTTCTAGATTCACGCCACATAGGACACGAAATTATTACGCCTGAGACAGTTTAAATGCCCTAGAGTTCCGCCACCCCCACACCAGTTCCCACTGACCTTGTCGTGGAACCAGCACTATCGGCCAGGTATGACCAGCTCTAACCAACAGCCCCATGTTCTCACGCCAATTCTCACAACTACTTACCGAAACGTCCCAACTCACAAGATGTCAATCCCGGCTAGTCATGGAAGGGCGATAAGCCGATATCAGGAGGCAGTAATTCTAGCAAAGTTATCGCTGCACCTGCTGGTTTTAACCCCCGGGAGCAGTAACCTTGTCACTGGGGTTTTCTCATTTGTTTGTGGGAATCAGTGATTCGGGAATGCAGAAATAAGCACACATCCCAGTTGGGTTCACATGTGTTCTTGTGTGAGTTTGTGTGAAAACTGAATCGCTGTAAATTGTGTAGTGTATTATTTTAGCTCTTTCAGTCCTCAGTAATTCTTGCATCAGCATTAGACCTTCGTACCATACACGAGTACTATTAGTCATCACCTTGTGGGATGCAAGTTTGGTTATCTTGAAGCCCCACCCTGGCTCTTGCCAGGGGCCGCAATATAGCCCAGCCATAAATATGGTCTTATGGCTGAACGCGGTTTCTGGGACCTCTCCACGGGTGATCCTCATCCACATGGTGGCACTTTGTTTATCGCTTGTATGATGTCCTAGTGGGGTAAAATGTACTAATACTATTAGGCCTTTGCATTTATCCATCTGTGGTTGAATAAATTCCCAATTTTGTTCCGCTAACAATAAAAATTATTAAATGCTTCTACTCCTCTAGTTACCATAGCGGAGTGATGGAAAGACAGGGAGGGTGTGTGGGAAGGGTGGGGGGGGGGATGTTAGGACTGTAGAGGACTGTAGCAAGAAGGTCTTTTTCTGTAATGTTTCTGGATAACGTTATCAATGTTTTGCACTATCTTTCCTTTGCCCTGTGTCCATTATACATCTTCAGCGTGATTCTTTATGAATCCATTTTGTGTCCATGTTTAGTGATGGCGACTGTAACTCATACTTCATCCATGTCTAATACTAGGGTGTGTGTTTTTTCCCCCTTATATATTAAAGGCATCGTTAATTGTTGTTTATTCACGTTTTCTAAAATCATCTATGAGCTCCAAGAACAAGAGTACGGCCACAGCAAACATGAATCGACAACATTAAAGACACTTTACGCCTTCAAGCATGACAATAACCAGTGCCCGCTAGGTTGCACGAGATCGCAAACTATTCCTCCCCACGCCGTTTAAAGGCAAAAGTGGTTTATGGTTATGACGATGACGCAGATCCTCTCTAGCCCATTGAAACTATCTCTAGCCCATGTTTTATTCACACTTAGTGACGCCATATCTAATCCATGTTTTATCCGTTTACTAGAGACATCACTAGCTTAGGTTTCATACACGCTTAGTGCGTCTCTCGCCCATGTTTTATCCATGTTTAAATCCACGTTAATTGACTTCTCTAATCCCTATTTTATCCATGTTTACTGGCGACATATCTTACCCAGGTTTTATACATGCTTAGTCCGTCTCTCGCCTATGTTTTATCCACGTTTATTATCATCTCTTATCCATGTTGTACCCATGTTTAGTGACATCTCTAACCCAGGTTTTATCTACGCTTACTGACGCTCTGTCTAACCCATGCTGTGTCCGTATTTAGTGGCAACATCTCTAATCCTAATTATATCCTTGTTTCAGGCGATACATCCTTTGCATCACAAAGAGGCACGGACACACACAACAATCTTAGTGTCATGAATAAGGGAGGCAACAACAGTCTCATCAACAACGCAAAATACCCTACCAAATCCGTTCATTTCCAAAACATTCGTCCCGACCCAAGCGGTTTCGGCTCACTGGCATCATTAAACACTACTTCAACTTTTGCCTCACGACCACCTCGTTCACCAGTCCTACCAGCCGCCCAGACTCACAAGACCTGCCTAGGAGCATCAAGATACACCCCGAATGTTCTTTCTGAAGACCATGGCATGAAAATTCCCAGCAACGTCAGCAGTCGCAGTTTCGCACCGTCTAGTAAAGACATAGAACTACATCGCAACAGAGTGTTGAATGATTGCTTCGTTAACAAACAAAACAACCGACACCTGAACGCCAGAAGCCCTAACAACAGCGAGTACAGCTCGGATGTGTCAAGGGCGAGATCTTCAATTTCGCAGAGATCCAATTCCAATTCTTGTTTGGATGGCACAGAAACATGGGACGGGGACACAACCACATCTGGCAGTTATACAGTTGATCCACAAGAGTTGTGTGACGAGATAGACAAATTATTTTTTGATGAATTACAAGATGTCGTTGTTTAGGGTCGATATAGTGGACAACTATACGTTAGTTTATGGGGAACACTTTCAATTAAAGTGGACTTTGTTAAGTATTTGGCATATCAAA